GGGGAAACGTGCAGATCTGTCCTCGCAGCGGAGGGAGAGCTGGTACCTGAATAAAACTTGGTCTTAAAGGTGCCACTGGACTCTTTTGGATTGCTAGCTATGGGGGGGACGGGGACGCGCAGATCTGCACAGAAAGATAGAAGGAAAGAGAGAGAGAGAGAGAGAAGGAACGGAAGGAAAGTGGAAAACATTACCTTTGCTCCCTCCAGATCCGCTAGTTTGCTCTTCTTCCTCACCAGGGTATTAAAGAAGGTCAGGTCGGGTTTCACTTTGTGCTCCTCCATCACGGCCAATAAGGACGATTCGGCCGGTCTGCCGGGCTCCACCAGCTCGGCGAGCAACGTAAAAGTTTTGATGTTGGCCGCCGCGTTGTCCTCCTTCATCTTCTTCAGGAAGCCCTCCAGGTTCCCCATCAGGGCCAGCCTGTCGGAGGGGGTGGCCACCGTCCCGAAGGAAATCAGGTTGCCACTCGCGGTCGACAGGTCCAGCAGGTTGGGAGAAGAGCAAGCGCTCGTGGAGAGCACTACGTTTGCCGTTGCAAAACCTGGAACTAGCCGGTTTTGATCAGAGACCGGCAAGTTCTCGGATCCGCTGGATTCCGGTGCGGTGCAGGCACTGCTAGCCTCCTCCTCTGCGAGCGTCTCGCCAGCCCCAGTTCCTTGGCTGGCAAAAGGCTCCGCGGGTGTTACGGGATTCTCCGGAAACATGCGTCTTTCCAGGACTTCGACATCCAACTGCGGCCCCCCAAGACCCTTCGTCTTCCGCCGTTGTCTGCCGGCCTTCTGCCTCGGCAGGGCTGGGCGCTCCTCAGGCGCTCTCAGCAAGAGCTCCGAAGCCACCAGTGGGTCACCCAGGCTGCAGTCTCTGGCGGCGGCCAGCATCAAGTTGTAGGTGTAGCTGTCGGGTCTGACGTTCAGCTTCGTCATCTGCTGCCACAGCTGTCGGGAGGGGGGAGGAAAGTTCAGACAGAGCTAAGGTTACGGGAAACACAGCTAACTCCGGGATGTCAGAGGAGGTCCTAGCTGTCGCCCAGGAGGGGACTACGGGCAAACGGCGACTCGTTCCCGCCGAGCCCCGGTTTATTTAATTAATCTATTTAAAATTAGTTTAACATTAATTTATTTAAAAAAAAACTTTTTTTTTTTTTTTGGAAATTTATTTTCATTTTCTACTGTAAACAAAAGTTAACACCATATCATTTTAGCATTCAATTACAACTTATAAAATCCATTACGTCTTCCACATTTAACAACTTTTTAAAATCATACTAGCAAAAGTTCAGTTTTAATTTATCTTTTTCATCTTCAGCCAGTCATAAAATACTACCCATCTATCCCAAAAAAGTTCCTCTGGTTTATTTTGGAGTGTTATATTTAACTTATCCATTTCCGCTATTTCCAGCACCATATTTTTAAGTTCTATTATAGATGGTATTATTTTGGATTTCCAGCGTCTTGCTATCAGAATTCTGGCTGCCGTAAAAATATAAACAATTATCTGTGTATGTGATTTAATGTCTTCCGGTATCATATTGAGTAGCCAAATTTCTGGCTCTAGGGGGATATGTATTTTTGTGACATCTAGAAGGATTTTTGCAATTTTTTTCCAAAATTTCTGGATTTTGTCACATTTCCACCATATGTGGAGGTATGATCCTACGTTTTTCTCACATCTCCAACAAATGTTGGACGCTTTTGGGAGACATTTTGCGACTTTAGCGGGGGTCCAATGCCACCTTTCAACCACCATCCGTCCTTACGCAGTTCAAGGCAGCTTACAATACAAATTAATTAATTATCGTATGTCATTTTGTGTGGAATAGCCAGGAGATCCCGGAAGGGATTATTTGGCTGCCGAAGCTGCAGCTCTTTTTTGGCACCACTAGGTGGCGAGCTGTGCTTATATTTAGGCTGAGAGGGTTGCGACTTGCCCAAGGTCACCCATCTAAACTGCAAGTGGGGAAGTGGGGACCTGAACCCGGTTCTCCAGATTAGAGCCCGCCGCTCTTAACCACTATGCCGAACTGGCTCTCTGCACAATATAAATAAAACCCATAAAACAGAGTATGGGAAAATACGTAAAACCACAATATCAAAACCACAGTTTAGGACTGCTTTAATCCAATGCATCCCTAACTAAAAAATGTCTTCTCAGCTGCTTCCTAAAGATTGAAAGGGGGGGGCAGTCGCACCTCCCTGGGGAGGTTGTTACATAATCG